TTTTTTTTTTTTTTTTTTTATCGGCCTCTTCTTCGCCTCTTGGCGATGGCCGCTCCTTCTTCCCCCTCAGTCTCTCCCCTTCTGTCCTTCTCCCTCCTACTTTGTCATTCCGTGGTACAGGCTCCGCGGCTATGGCCACTGTCTTTCTCCTTCGTGGCGCAGCAACTTCACAGGTAAGTGACAACCAAACTTGTATCGCTCATCTCTCTCTCTCTCTCTCTCTTGGTCTTCTTCTTCGTCGTGGTCTTCTTGCAGGTGCGCGGCGGCTTCCCCAACCTCAGGTCCGCTATGGCGGACTATCACCTTCAGCGGCCACCTCGGCTATGGCACATCAGGCCCTGCATACGAYGGCGCGCATGGAATAGCGKGTACCAGCTCCGATACCAATGCAATCAGACTCGTTCTCAAACACACTTTTCATGCATGTAAACAGCAACGCAGCATACTGGCGACATGCGCCCACTCAAAACTCAGAGATATGGCTTTCCGATACGAGTTCACTCTCAATTGGCTATGGCGACTTCAGCGCCCAAACATCTCACTGTTCACATACACTGGATCACCCTGGATATCCCACACACATCACTCTAACACTCGAGCACAGACACACACTCACTACTAACTACAGCTATGGCAGCTATGGCTGCCTCTAACCTATCGCTATGCTAACTCCTCATCTCTTGCCCACTGCGTCCTCCGGGCTCATCTGCAGACCACCTTGCACAAGTCGCTGTGGCGCGCTTCCGCATGGCTCACGCAGGAATGAATGAATGGCTGGGCACTGCCTCTTGAATTATACTTCAGAAACTCGTTGGTCTGCCCTTTGCCGTCGGCCCTTGGTGCTCACAGTCCCCCTGTGGTACTTGCTGGACCGGACTGGGACTGACTGGACCTTCCGCTGACTGACTGTGGACTCACCGCTATCCTACCGACATTGTACTGCTGTTGCACTGCGGTTTAGTCCACCACTTGCCTCACCACTTGACCACTTGCCCACTTGCCTACCTTCTAGAAGGTCTACAGCTAAGCTTCCGGAACTCACTAAGACTCCTACGTTATAGACCTACAGATCGAACCCCTGCTGCCTACGGACCTACGACAGGCCTACCAACTGCCTACGAATACACAGGTCACAGGTTCAATTCTCGGGGTCTACACAGATACTGTACATGGGTAGGGTGAGGTCCAGGGATCGAACCCTGGGTACTGCATCCGCTACTGCTAAAAGGTGAAAACCGTTTCACTTACACAATCTTCTTTCATTTTCTCAACAGATTATCACGAAATTTCAGTAGCAGGTGCGTGAGGTTGTGGTATATCTAGTATCTACCAAAAAAAAAAAAAAAAAAAAGAACGTCCCTCAATGGGGTTTGGCGGGCCCCAAACCGCTGGATGGCCCAAACCCCGGCCCGAAACCCCGAACGTCCAGGGGAGGGGGTACACCCCCCTCCGAACGGTCGGGCCGGCAACCCTGGTGTGAACAATATCTCAAGATTCCCAACCATGTACTATCAATTGAACGATGTTCACACATTTGTTTATCTGTGGCACACTACCACACCGCACTTGCAAGTACAATATCAACACTACTTAATAGCAGAGTTACCACCCTGATGAGCTGAGTGGTCACCTCCTCTACAGTTTGATGAACTCTTGACCTGAAGGTGGAGTCAATCTGCGGATTGTTATTGTTTCGCGAGCACTCCTCATTGAAACTTTCGGCCGTACATTGTCGCTGAAACTTTCCAATGCACATTCTTTTAAGCAGTGAAGCTTTTTAATTACCGTTAATTTGTCCCTTTCAACAGGCAATGGATGGCACAAGAACCAGGCTTTCGCTAACAAATCAGGCTACAAGGACTTCCGCACAATTCATGCCTGATTTCAACAATACGCCCACAAATGAATCACATGGGAGAGTAACACAATAGTCATACTTCAGGGAAGGGGAGGCAAAGGCTCACATACACACCTGCGGCATGCCCTAGCCACTCTACTCATGACATTACTTTTGCCCTCGAACCAGGCCACAAGGACTGTCCACGAGTACATAACTGAACCACATGCGGGAGTGCCACCATAGTGCTACTCCAGGAGAGTGAAAGCAAAGGTTCACATTGACGCCTGCATCACGCTGCGGCCACTCGGTACTTCGTAGAGGGAATATATATGGCCATACCTCAAAAAGCGCATCCAGCACAAGTTTGTCGGTGTCCTCTCCAGCTGCTCCTTCCAATCGCAAGTCCGATACTAATGGAAAAACAAAAAACCAAGCAGGCAAACAGATCCATGAACATTCACAAACTGAGGGGATACTAACACTAGTACGCAACTCTCTTTTCGAAACCTGAGGGCAAACTGAGATAATCCGGGTCACACATCAATCTGATTCCCACCAACCCATTCTTGATTGAAAACGTCAGCAACCTGCAGGATTGCAATCGAAGCCTTCCAGAGGTGCCCACGTACTGATTCCTCTCCACAATTCCATGGAAGTGTAAGGACCTGCCAAAACACGGACTGAGAACACAGCTGATTTCTGGGGGTTGCCACTGGAATGCATGCCTTGCTGAGATTCCCGCTTTTTCTAAGTCCGCATGCCTGTCTGAGTGCTTGTCGGCCTGAGTGTGTGTGTGGTCCGCCAGGGCACTTGTTTGTCTGGATGGCCCGTAGGGCCGGTACTTGACAGTGGCCGTGACTTTGGGGTTGCAGCGGGGGAAAGGTACTCGAGTGGCCGAAGGGGTAGCTTAGGGCACACTCGCGTAGCGGTAGTGTAGGCCGTATGTACTCGAGTGGCAGTAGGCAGATCAGAAGAAGACAAATAGTATGTTTAGAGGCCCAGTAGTGGTATGCTAGGTCTAGGCAGGTACCAGTCCAAGTAGTCTGAGCCTGGGACAAGCTGATGGCCTTCGAGCAAGGCACGCTGCCGAGTGTTGACTGGATTGCCGAGTACCAACGCTTGACATCTGTCCCAGACATTCAAATGGGCTTCAAGGCCGTCAAACACTACATCTCGAGGTCGTGTCCGGCATTGGGCAATGCCTTGACTCACATAGAGGACACCCTGACGACACCGGCGGAGCTCTTCGATAAGGCCGTGCAGATTATTGCCACGAACAAGGAGGCTAAGAACCTCCACCGTTCGTCTGCGACAGGCCCGAGCAGAGATCAGCATCAGCCAAAAGTGGTCGTGGTCGCGGTGGCAACGCCAAACGACCAAACTAGTGAGGCCGTGTCTGCCAATGAAGGGGACGGACTTGCAGCCGCCCGGGATGGTGGCCGCCCCGGCAAAGGCCAAGAACACGCCCAGGCGAAGACAAACACCGCATCTAGCTCCGGGCCCGGCGCTGCAGCTCCAGCCCCATGGTCTCACTACGGTCTCTTAGAGCAAGCATACAAGGCACGCACGAGATTCCACTATTGTCTGTGGTGCAACAGCGATCTCCACGAGACAGTGGGCTGCCCGTCGAAAGGCAAGGGCAAATCGGGAAGCTGAGCACCGTCGGGAGTGACTCGACGACACTCTCGACGCCTTCGGAACCGGTCGCTTCTCGGGTGACCGCCCTTCGTTCTGAGGCACATGTGGAAGTCAATAGTCTTCTATTGTCTTACGAGGACCATACTGCCCGGCTCATACCTACACTGGGTACTCAAAAGTGGTTCTTCACAGGATTCGGCGCGCGAGTTCAACATAGAGGTATTGGACCTGCTCACGTCCGAGGATTTCGCATGGCTTCCTCTCTCGACCACGGGCCGCTTGCCGGGACCGCAATGCGCAGCATTATGCGCTCATCTTCACACGTACTTATCCTTCTATGCACCACCAACTTCGCCGACAAATGAGGAAGTCGCGGTGGGGTACATCCTTGCGTATGTTACCAAGGTGGCCTGCGAGTTTCGCAAGCAGTGGTACAATGACAACAACGCACCGCTCCTCTATGTCCTCATCCAAGTTGGGCAAGCTTCCTGCAGCACTTTGCTGGATATCGGCGCGTCTCGCAATTTCATGAGCCACGCCTTTATGCAAAGGGCTGGCCTTGGCGCACAAGTTCGGACGAAGGCAAACCCAACGGCGATCAAGTTGGCGGACGGAAGGACACAGCAACTTATCGACCGCTACATCAAGGCCGTACCGGTGTATTTCGCACCTCATGAATGCGAAACGGTGACGTTCAACATTTTGGACACGGACTTCGACATTATTTTGGGAATGCCTTGGCTTGCAAGTGCGGATCACACGGTCAACTTCCACTGGCGGACTCTTACCGTTCAGGATGCCTTCGGCGCCGAAGCATCGTGTACAATTCCTCTTCCGCACCCTTCAATCCGGTGCCAAGTGGTGACGGCCAAGTCAGTCTGGCCTACTTGCGCATACCAGCAGCCCGACGAGATAGGCCTATGATTCCTACAGACCGTCGCGGTAGCCGACTGAAGACTCATGGACTTGTCTTCGAACCCCCGAGTGGTGCGGTTGCTTGACGAGTTCACCGACATCTTCGAGTCACCTACCGGTGTAGTGCCGGATCGGCCGATCTCTCACGAGATCATTCTTGAGGCCGGTGCCGTGCCGCCGAAAGGTTGCATTTACTGCATGAGCGAGGAGGAGCTTACAGTCCTCCGCGCGCAACTCGATGACTTGATGGACAGGGGCTGGATCCGCCCTAGTAGGTCCCATATGGAGCGCCAGTTCTCTTCGTATGGAAGAAGAACAAGGATCTACGATTGTGCATCGACTTCGCGAGCGCTTTTAGTGGCCCGGCCTTCTCGGCGACGTCACACGCATTTGCGAGTCATGCGAGGTTTGCCCATGCTGCAAACCCCACAACCATCGTCCATACGGCGAGTTGCGACCATTACCGATCCCTTTGCGCAGGAGGGAAGCGATTACCATGAACATTACCGGGCTGTTCCCCAAGCACAAGACCGGTGTGGATGGGATTCTTACGATGGTCGACCGACTCACCAAGTTTTTGCCTTGCCGCTATCATGCCAAGGC